ATGAATTAACAAGGTAGATATCAGATATATTATTTCGAATAATACTTTAACTGATAACAAACAGTTATAAGATTAGTATAAAAGCATCGTCATTCATATATCTTACAACTTAAATTAGATAAGTGATAATCAAATATAATAAATTTAATATAAAATATATTTTATTTAAAAGATCAGTTAATTTTAAATATAATTTCATAAATGTTTATCTAAAGCTATGTATTTCTGTTATATGCTTCTGTACATATGTATTATACTAGTATAATACAATATATTATACTCAGTTCTAACTCCTTTTAAGCAACTCAAATGCCTAGTTATAAATCAAGAATTTTAAAATTAATTTCAAAAACAATCTTTACTAATGATTTTTACTATATGTCATGCTCTATGTTTGTGATTAAACTAATTGTTGATACTCCAAACTCTTATGTTCTTACTTATTATATAGTATTTATAGTTGAAGGCATATTGTGAAATTCATAACAAATAATATAATATTGCTGTAATAAATATTGCTTTAATAAATATTGCTGTAATAAAAATTATATTATTGCTATATATTTAAAACTCGATTAGTAAAAAAATCTTCAATGATAAAATTTTTTATGATACTACAAATAGTTTTGATTTATATAGTTAACGTAAAACATTAACTTCATATGTACTTCTAATGCAATTATTTAATATTACTATATGTAAATTATTCTCTATAATTAAAACAGTTGAATTAATTTCAACAATTAAATCATTTTCAATAGTTGAATTAATTTCACTAGTTAAATTAATTTTAACAGTTGAAATTATTTTAACTACTAAAAATAAATTCAGTTTCAACAGTTAAATTTAATTTCAACAGTTGAAATATTCTAAAATTAAATTTTAATTTCACTCTTATCTATAGCTATCAGCTAAACTTTATTAGTTTCATAAATTTTAGAAGTGATACATATTGTAAGAGTACAACTAGTCACATTTATAATTTTAAGTTATCTATTTTAAGTAGTCTGCTTAAAGGTTCTATACTAGCTGCTATATCTGACATCTCTTAGAAGATTTTCTATTTAAACTTTCTGCCTCTATCTCACTTATTACAAATATTACTCTTATAGTTAACCATAACTCTATGCTACTTTACTTTAGGAGGCACCCAAGCTGATATTAGTTGCAAACTTTACTATTATGGATTCTAGGTTTTACTCAGATAAGTCCTAACTTCAATGTCTCCTAATAGATAAGTATCATGATACCTAATTATACTATACTATATCTCAATCTAACTTGCATATACTTTTATTCGATGTTTGTACAAATTTAGTTCTAGCTATAGCTTTCTACTAGTTTAGACTTCTGTATTCTTTTGAATATTTTACAAGGTAAATTCTTCTAATCTAGTTAGCTGCTAAGCCAAGTTGGTGTTGCTATAATACCTAATATCACAGAATTACTTACACTTACTCGATCTGCATCTTTGTACTCAGAAATCTTTGTTGGATCAAGTATTAACTAGCATAACTATTAAAATCTATACTACTTTATCTAACTTAGGATTTCTACTATGCAGGTTCTCTGCTCATAGATTCTATCTTGATTTATTCATGTAATGCAACTTTAACATTCTGTTATACTTTTAATATCCAAACAATATTGGTACAACATGATTTATAAGGTTACAACCTTAGAAATGAACAAAGTTTACTATAAGTTGAATATAGATATCTAAGTAATTATTCAATTCTGTTAACAGTATAATTTGAACTCTAAACCTCTTACATAGCAGTCTGACAACTTATTCACAATATTAGATTACTGGACCTATTAAGTTAATTTAAATAGTATTAAAATTAAACAGATCAGTTATTAGATTATAAGAAATTTAGCTATAAAAATTACTTTAAAAAGATATTTAATTTTAGAATTATATAGTACTTATTTATCAATTTAATAATTTTAAATTATTTTATTATATAAATATAAATTTTTTTTTTTTACTTTATACAAATACTATCAGCTAAACTTTTATTAGTTTTTATATTAGAAACATAATATATATTATAAGAGTATAACTATTTACATGTATAATTATAGGTTATCTAATTTAAATAGTCTGCTCAAAGGTTCTACACTAGCTGCTATATCTAAAATCTATTAGAAGATTATCTATTTAAACTCTCTAGTACAATATTACTTCCAAATTTTTTCTGATTGACTATCTTAATGATTTTTCTCTATGTTCTGCATTATTTCTAAGCATGTTAATAGCTGCTATTT